GCGCCTGCCTTTATGGGCGAGCAGGCCACGTATGGCCCCAGCTACCGCGGTGGCCTCGCGCCACCACCGGAGTGGTGGCTTCAGTTTGTCCATGTTTTCGCTCCAGGCCAGCTAGCACAGCTGCAGCAAGCCTACAACAACACGTGGGCTCAACCATGCCACTGGCCAATGCACCAGTCCACATATCCTGTCAACCCCAACCCATATTACTCCACACCCACAGCATTCGCACATCCACCACCCTTTTGCCCGGCCCCACTGCCACTTCACATCCACCAGCCTTTCCCGCAGCCCCCGGCTTCACATGCACAGCCATCCCCAATCCAGCGCCCTGTTGCCACTCCCGCACACGCATGTCCCCCAAATCCAATCCCACCATTCACATCGACTCCTGCGCAACCTTCGTGGGCAGACCTATCGGAGGAGCTCGCTCCAGTTAACCAGAGGGAGGAATTGCCTACTTTGCTTCCCAAGCCCAATAAGGGCAAGGGGAAGGGCAAGGGATCAAGCCAGAAGCCCAAAGGCAATGGCAAAGGCAACAAGCCTCGCAACGGCTTCAATCACTCCTGGAGCTACGACTACTACAATTCATACTGGTACTGAGAGACGGGGTAGCAAACACTTTTGCTTCCGCGCATGACAAAGTCAGCTGCTGCCACTGCCCCTGAAGGACGATGGGTTGCTAAAGGTTTCCCGTAGTGGATTCCGTTCGTCGACCAACTGACCTGCTGTTTCTGGATGAGAGATGTGGGGTGACAAAGCCTCCCCCGAACAGATTTCTCGACTGGCGGACGGGCTGTTGTCTGCTTAGAAACCACGGAAATAGCGGGCATTTGCACTGTAGGGCACGCTGAACTTTCCCTTTGCCTTTGCATGCACTTGCCACAAAGCAAGGCGGGCGACGCATGCAAATGTTGAAGGTACCAGAAGCTGAGCTCTTTCGTGGGCATGATGTCGCGTGGCTTTGGCGGCTCGCAGGGCACCCAGCTACGGCCGCGCCGCCAAAGGATGAATACTTCGGAAAGGGTCGCACAGTCGTATCGGGGTCAGGTTCCTGCGATTTAGCTCCGACCTTATGAGTCCTTTTTGTTTCTATTGGGGATGGTCGACAAGAGGGGCAAAGCCAGCTGTTGCATACCAGCTTCAACCTTGAGACCCTGCAGCAGCAACTGTTGACCAGGAACGTCTACGTCCTGTCCTGGGGCGCTGCCAAGGAGAAGGACACCCCGATGGTGTCGTCCTCAGTCTCGTTGTTGAAGTTAACCTAGTTAAACCCCTTTCTGTTGATTCGCGGGCAGCAGGCTCTTTGAGCCCATGGTTCTCCGAAGTCTAAGAGGCCAATGTTCTTGTGCTGCGGCTTCAGGCTTGAAGGCTTCCCGAGAAGGATGTGATCTCTACGTCGAATCCCTCGAAGGTCTTGCGAGTGTGTTGCAACCAACCTTGCAGATTCCAAGCTTCCGGGGCTGGCATGAAACAACGCCATCGGAACAGCGCCTTGAATTGAAAAACGCCCAAAGTCCAAAAATATCGATCACACACGTGTCTTGGACGATCTGACAACTCCAGAAATCTTGGGTTGAAGGCTGTAAAATCCAACCAACCGGAACCCGTGAGATCCTAGAAGGTCAGCAGCGAACCCCGTAAAATACCCCTAAATCTTCTGATGCCACGAAACCGAGTACGAAGGTCATCTCCTCCAGGGCGCGGGGCTCGGCAGAAGCTCGTGCTTGCTGTTCGAAGGTGACTCGGAAAAGGTAGATACAAGCCCTGCTGGAGATAAAGGACTAAAAGGATTTTTCCAGAGACGGGGCTTCGAGCATCAGGGTTTCACGGGTTTGGGCACGGATGGTCTAACAATCATGTATGAAAATTAATGGTCGGCTGCCAACAAGCCATAAGCCCAGACTTCCGTTTAATAGCCTAGTTCCAGCACTTCATATGTGCACCATGGAGAAGACCTCGTATGCCATGCCATCGCCGTTGTTCACAAGTCAGTCATCATTCGCATTAGGATTGAAATTCAGGCGTGAGCACCTATTTGCATTCCAACGCAAAGCTTACCGCAGGACTCGATCATGTACTGGCCTGGCGGCGGTGGCTCGCTGACGACCGATGCTATGCCAGCTAATTCGTATATGAACCTCGGCCGACGATTCGATCGATTTAGGGCTTGCTTAGTAGTCGGCTGTCAGCTTGACATTTTGGGAGCTTTGTCGAACACGCACACGAGCGGTGCAAAGCTTGCTTTCACAACGTTCAGAGGGCGACGAATGATATTGCAGCTTCGTGGGTTTGGCTGAGAGTCCGTGTTGGACAGGACGCAGGTGGGCTGAGGAGCGGATTATTCAGGAGTCAGAAGGATGATTTCTTCGGATTGCTAGTGATGCATCAGTGAGACGGTAAGATGGCAGTTCTCAGTAGACGGTGAGCCTTCGGCGTAAAGATGTTATCCTTGCGGGAGGTTACGAGTCACCTGGCCCCCGCTTCACGACTTGTTCGAAGTGTCTCAAGGAGTCTAGGGTATTGTTTGTTGCTGGATGTGCAGGGTATTGTGAAGCTGGGTGCTTGTCCACACCTGATCAACGTTGCTTTGGCGTGCTTCTTGCAAAGGGCTCGTAAGCGCCGCGAGCAAGATTGGACAGAGTGTTGCCAAGTTGCTGTTGGGGCTTGCATGCCTCGGCCTCGAACCACCTTGTCTTCGTCAGCCGTTGCATCGACCGATTTATGCGACGGAAACATACCGTACTTGATAGGCTCACAGCCCTGATATCCCAGTCGGTTTGCGAATTAGCATATTTGTAGATCCCCTAACCCACTGTGCAACCTGGCCTGTCTTGCACCTAGGATTGTGGGTTCATGGTGCGGGGCCCAGCAGGGATTCTGCTTGGTGTTGGCAATAGGTTCGTTCACCGCGACGCGGGCACCTCACCCACCCTTTTGAACAATCCATGTTTTCACAGACAGTTGAGGTCTCTGGCAGAGGCTTTGTCAGATAGTTGTTTCGAAGGGTCTGATGCGTGCATGCAAATGCTGCCTGTTTCATGATGAAGGGTAACGGTTTCTCGGAGAGGCGAGGTCCCAGGTCCTACATGGTTTCTCATGTCTTCAGCAGGTAGTGTTCATCCCTACAAGTAAGCACGAGTCGAATGGCGCTGCACGTGAAATTGAGTCCCCGTGATGCTTGAACATCGGATGGCGGCTAGAGTACAACATGTGTCAGACATTCCGGAAACACTACCTCTGCTCTGTCCGTCTGCCCTGATTGGCCCGAGGAAGCATCGCGAACGACCCTAAAGCCTGTATTTCCTAATTCATCAACAACGCATTTTGCCATGATTCATCATCGGTGTGCATGGAAACAGCTGCCTTTGGCATGCTTTTCGAGGCTGGGTTTGCGCTGCCGTGGGTTTGCAGCTCCATTCACGCTTCCATCCTTGGTGAACGAAGTGGCGACACACCATTCTGGACAAGAGGCCAACGGAGGAGAGCGAAACGTGGTAGATTTGGATTTGTCCGGGAATGTCCGCCGGCTTCAGGTGTTCGAGCAGCGGAACAAGTTGCTGCATGCCAAGCTTCGGTCAATGAGATGGCCACTGCTGACTTCCTTCCAAGCTTATGGCCACACCTACTGTTTGCCACTCAGAGCAAGCGCGAACTTCTCCACTGCATGTGCGGAAGTTCCTCAGATGAGATATTTTGCAGGGTTTTTCGACGGAGATGGATGCTGCCAGTGTCATCCCAGAAGCAAATTTATGTTGCACGTTGCCCAGTCTTTTGATCGAGCAGAGATTCTTGTTTTGTTCCGGTCGGTATTTGGTGGGGGCATTTGCCGTGGAAAGCCTGGACAAGGCCTTCGAAAGCCAATGCTGCAGTGGCAACTGACTGGCACCAAGGCTGCCAATGCTGCCAGACTCTTGGCACGCCACAGTATAGTGAAGCGAAGACAGCTTGAGCTCGCTGAGGATTGCTTTCGGCAGCCAGGTGAAGCTCTCCAATCGACGATGAAAGCATTGAAGTTGCATGACTCGAGTGTGGTGGGTCCATGCACTTGGGAGTATTTGGCGGGCTTCTTCGATGCGGAGGGGAACATTAGTGTAGTTGGAGGCAGGGTAAGATTGAGCATCTGGCAAAAGTTCGGCACTGTTCTCGATTGTTTGTCCCAGTTTTTGGATCGCGAACTTGGATGCGACCTGCGTGTTCGGCCGTACAGGGGCAACTGGTGCCTGGACGTTACCACTACATCTACCAGCAAACGTGTTCTGCAAAACATGTTACAAGGGGGCTTGGTCCAAAAAGCCGAACAGGCGAGACTGGCACTGGCTGTAACTCCAGCAAACTCCAGGCAAATCCGAGGCTTGCTCTTCGATTTAGTGGGAAATCAAAATTTTGGGAAGAGGCTTGACCATCATGGCGTAGAGAGAGCTCGCAAAATCAACGTTGCATGTGCGAGGGCCAGATATGCATTGCGAAATGGGAAACAGAACGAAGCCTCTGCCACTTTTCGGGAGATCGAAATCTTGAAGTCTGATCATGAACTGCAGAACTTGAGCCTTGCGAACGTTCAGCTGCAGGCGTACATCCTGAATCTTCGTAAACTGCAGCAGGAGGACTCCATCCTGACCGATGTGAAGCAGCTTGTTCGCCGGCAAAAAAGTGCTTCAGCTTGGCTGTTGCGTTCAATTTGCGAGGACTTGGTGTTGTGGATTGCGCGCTGTATCTCAATTGCGAGCTGTGCGCATAACCCAAGTTGCAACCAAACCGAAGCTGGAGTGATGCGAAGCCACCCCTATGATTATGCGTGAAGTGCTTTCGAAGCCATGAAAGGTGAGTCTAGGGCGTAGTGACTAGCGAAATTCGTATTTCGTGGCAGTCTCAACGGGCCAACTGTTCGAATTCAAGCGTTGCATCTCATTCTGCAGCTTCCAGCTAAAACGACTAGAGTCCGTGCGATCTTCCCATTGCACCACTGAGCCCGAGGTCTCAGTGGCAGCAGGCCGAGCCCATGGAGCCTGAAGGCTTTCGCGCTTAGACACTCTGATTTTCATACTTCATATAAGCGCACAGCAGGCTTCCAGCGCTGACGATATCAGCAAGGAATCGTGTCGTCGTTGCTGTCGAAGTCACGTTGGGGTCTCAAGCCTACGACCGAGAAGCGTTCAGGAGTTGCGTGTCTCGAAGCCTATACACCCGTATCTCAAACCTCTAAGAAGGGTATATTTTCGGGCCCACTTGCCAGTGGCAGGAAACGGTGCCTACAGCTACGTTGTCGTCCTGGGCGAGACGAGGCGCCTCCGATGCATGCTTTTGTCACAAGACACGGCTATGGAACCTTCGAGCCAGTGATGCTTGCACCATCCACTTGGAATATGAGAGACATAGAACTGCTGGCCTGTTGCTGCCTTGCATCGAAATTTGGCCTTGATTACAACTGATCCCCTAGTAGTAGAAACTCCAGAAATCGTGTGGTGATGCAGTGTCGGATCAGCGGCCGGTGAAACTACTTACTTCTGCTCTTGTTTTTGCAACACCAGTGTTTTTTTCATTGTGAGTTTTTGTTGGGTAGTTCCCTGTTTTGCCACCGGCCTTGTCAGGTTTGAGCAGTT